CGAGCCGATGGATCTCGAGCTCGCGGCCCACTCGGACCCGACCTCCGGCGTCGTCCTCTGCAAGTTCTGCGGCAAGTCGTTCCCGGACGTTGGCTCTCTGATAGCCCACCTACCGGCGCATACAGGTGACAGGCCCTTCAAGTGCGAGTTCTGTGGCAAGGCCTTCAAGTTACGCCACCACATGAAGGACCATTGTCGCGTGCACACCGGAGAACGTCCGTTCCGGTGTACGCTGTGCGGCAAGACCTTCTCGAGGTCGACGATACTGAAGGCCCACGAAAAGACACATTATCCGAAGTATGTGCGCAAGTTCCTGTCCCCGAGCCCCGTGGATCCCTCCGAGGAAGAGGCCCCGCCGCCGCCACCGCCGCATCATTGAGTTCGCCTTAGACCGTGCAACAACAGCCACGTTCACCACCGCCGGAGGAAGAATCGCCGATCGATACACCTTCTTCTTCTCCTTCTTCGTTTCCGTTTCCCTGCGTCCTTGTACCGCTTGGACGGGATCAACGCCGTTATAGTTGTTTCATCGATCGCCACCACCGCGATGGAGGAGGATTCTCTCGATAAGAGGCGAATGATCGCGCATCCGACGATTTACCGGAGAATCGACGTCGTTGCCCGCGTGACGCCGGGAATGATGATGATGATGATAATGATGATGATGATGATGATGATGATGCGGTTCGACGAGGGAAAGGGGAACACGGACACGAGCAGTTTTACTACTAGTGGTGCCTCATTCTCATTCGCTCGTTGTTTCTCGTATTTCTTTCGTTATTTATCCCCGATACTATTATTATTATTGTTGTTACTCCTACTACTCCTACTACTCCTACTATTCCTACTACTCCTACTATTACTGCTACTACTACTACTCCTACTCCTACTTACTACTACTACTACTCCTACCGCTACTACTATTACTACTACTACTACTACTACTACTACTACTACTACTACTACTACTACTACTACTACTACTACTACTACTACTACTACTACTACTACTACTACTACTACTACTACTACTACTACTACTACTACTACTACTACTACTACTACTACTACTACTACCTACTACTACTACTACTACTACTACTACTACTACTACTACTACTACTACTACTACTACTACTACTACTACTACTACCACTACTACTACTACTGCTACTACTACTACTACTACTACTACTATTACTACTATTACTGTTTCTTCTCCTGGTAGTCGTCTGTCATCGTGTCCTTCTCTCGGCACACCAGGTTCCGTCGTTCAGCCTCCTGCTCGTCGTGTTAAACAGCCGAGAAACGTTCGTGCGCCTCCTCCGTTGCTGTGTCACAGGGCGCTCGTCTCCTCGAGTAGTTCCCGTGATCGCTTCTCCCTGTTATCGTTCCTGGTCTCTCCTGTCTTTTCGTTCGTATCCACGGAGGGTGTACACCTCGCGTTCATCGATCCCCACTGAGCGACGAGGCAAAAAGCCGGCGGTGTTTCTAGTTAGTCCTGTGATTTTGGTTAGGATGGTTGGTAAACGCGTGTTCAGAGGGAGGGACACGTTAAAACGAGCTCCCTCGTTTAATCAGTGCTTTAAGACGAAACGTTTAGCTTATATATATATATATCGATAAATTATTGAAGGTATATATATATATGTGAGTGAGAGGAAGAGCGAGAGAAAGTGAGAAAGGAAAGCAGAGTGAGAGGGTGGGAGAGAAAGGGGACAAAGAAGAGAAAAAGAAGATGAATATGAAGAGGATGATGAAGATAGAAGATCGGGTTTTTAAATCGAGATAAATTACGCGAGATACAATTAACGGACAGTGTAAGAGAGGTCGAGTGAGAGGGAGGGAGAGAGAGAGAGAAAGAAAGAAAGAAAGAAAGAAAGAAAGGAAGAAAGAAAGAAAGGAAGGAAGAAAGGAAGGAAGGAAAGGAAGAGGACGAATGGATAAGAAAAAAAAAATTTGAGCCGCCACGGTTGGTGCTTTTAAGAGATTTTCATAAAATGCTGTGAATATTATATTGATTACGATTAACTATAAACTATTGTAATAATGTAATAACGTTGTACGATGTACGATGTGACCGTTGTTGATACGATTGAGAATATTTTATACAGTTGACAAGGGGAAGGGTGTTGGGATTCTCGCGCCGACGATTACGATTATGACACAGAGAAAGGGCTACAGGGGGTCTGGGGAGGGGGGTTGGGTTAGGACTGACGATGGGGAAGGGATGTACGGGGTTAAGGGAGGGTAGAGAAACGTCCACACATGGCGAAATTCGATTCAGTTTGCGTTCGTGGACGTTCGCGGTTCAAACACGACGACGTAGTAAAGCGAAGAAAACAAAATTTTAAGCGCGGCGCGGGGCTGCTAATTAAGTCGCGTTACGAGTGCGCCGGCGTCGATAACGGCTTTTCGAAACTGTTTTTTGCCTCTTTGTCCGTCGCGTGTTTATTTCGTTCTTCTTGTTATTCGTACGCAACGTTCATCTTGCCATCGTTGGCTGAATTTTGCGGTCTTGTTTATTCGAAGCTCGTCGAGAAAAATTATCCAATGTACGTACAACGTACCTTCGATTCTCAGATTCTTCGTTCTTTTATCCGTAAACGCTTTCGGTATATCCGAGAGTTTTCTTAAGTTAATTCACAGGTTGTCATTTAGGCAGCGGATTTAAGTACGAAAGAAATATTATCTCGAAATCTTCGTCTAAGCAAGATTTAAAATCATGGTATCTCGTATGTCTTATCAGGTATAACAGAAGCGTTTGTAAAACACTTTCAGGATATTCGAAAGTTTTCTCGGACTAATTGCCGCGGAATATCATTTAGGCAGCAAAGAGGTATCGATGAAATATTATTGTAAAACGTCTGTCTAAGCAGAACTTGAAACCGTACGATCTCGTGCATTTCATCGGATTTAACAGAGCTATATAGTTAATTACATCGCGTTAACGAGAGATTATCGAATATCATTCGCGAACGTCTGTCTCGGGAAATGTCCCCGGAGCTGCTTCGATGCAGTCGTACATATATACGCGTGTTCACGATTACTCGCGAGCTCTTACCCAATTCCTATCACGCATCGACATAAACACGATATCGAGAGCGCGCGTCGGGCACGCCAAACGCATCGGAGACAGCCAAGTCGGCGCGTGTATCTAACGACGGTGTGTTAGGCCAGCGAACCAGTGCAATATCTAACTCATGACATGACGCGATTCTATCAAATCTTCTAGCCTAATTTCTCGTTTCTACGTTTCCTATAACCGTGGTATTTGCCCGTATTCGCAACTGACTTTTTGCTCCTCCTTGTTTATTTATTTCCGTTGTGTACGAGCTTGCGTAATAAGCCAAGAAGCGGTAGCCAGTCAAAGTTGATCGATCGATCGATTTTCGCCTGATTTATACGCCAACTTTAGAAATCTACCTGACGGATGGAAACGAAGGAAACGAATTATTTATAAAGGAAAGACGAGTCGTGGTTGTATTTTACGTAGTTCGTGATTCTCCTTTCGAGTCGAAGATAGTGCAATAAGAAGAAAAAAAAATATGTGAACGGAAGACGAGATGATTTTTTGAAACACGGAAGAAACGTTTCGGTTGATTCGCGCAGCGTTTCTGTCCAGTTCCATCGGCGTACGAAATTTACACCTTCCTTTAAACGATTCGCGAAGAAACGGAAACGGAAGGCAGAACGTGACTTTAACGTACAGAGAAAACATACCTGTTCGAGAAAACACGACGTTATCCTGTAAGCAGGATGTGTGCCGTGTATTCGTGGATCGACGTGGCGGAGATTCCATCGAGGTATGAGAAGCAGAGACATTTAATTACGTAGCTCTTTGAATTTTCTTTTTCACTTATTTTCGATTTAATGTCTTCTTTGTACTTCTTACTTGTTTGTAGCCGCTAATATCTTTCTTTACAGTGAATATATGGACAGTGAAATCTCCATAACGTATCGTATAAATTGCAAATTCTATTCTCATTTGAAATTTTAGTACCTACCGTTTAGTAATCGCCATTCATTATATACAATATGTATATAATATATATATTTTACCATTTGATTTATCCCAAGTATTAGTTTTTTAATACCGACGATATTCAATAGCGTCCTCGTGTGTCTGCTATTTCAAATACAAGTGGAAAACTAAATTGCCAAAGTTAATATATATGCAGAAATTATACGATCTAAGAACAGGTTTGCAACTCGAGAACAATGAATATTTATGAATGTTTAAACGGTAGAATCTAAATGAAATAGTAATCGGAAAACTGCGTAATATGTGACAAAATTAGCTGCGTTCTATTAATTTATTAGGTCTCTGTGGGGAGAAAGCTAATTGCATCGAATAATCGTATCAAAAATTCAGAGAAAATTCTGCTTTAATATAATTTCAATAACGCGATTGTTTTGACGGTGGGGATATTGTACGATTACTATCATGCATATATTCGATATAAAGATCACAGGTAAAAGACACGATAGATCATATTTATGATCGTTCGTAGAAGGGCAATTTTATAAATTGAGTTAAAGATTATATATGTGTTTTTGTTACACGTGTTTCTGCAGCTAACCGCATATTTTACCAACCTCTTCGTACCTTTAAAAATATTGCCTGTCAAGATATGGAAATACTATTTGTCTTAACGTTTATACGAGTAGTATAAGTTTTGTGTTTCAATTTTCAATTCATTAGTCGGGTGCACGATTAATATTCACCATCTCCAAAAACGAAGATCTTATTTTCATGAATTTACTTATCACGGGAAGACGATATAAACAATCTCGAATTTCAGGGTAAATTTAAAAAAGTAAAGTTGACAATTTTTCTTCTCCGTTTGCTCGATAACATTTTTCGAGCTAACAAGTTCCTTTCGCTTGTAGATATTTTATCCTTCTCGTGTATTAAAATATCCCTTTCTAATCATAAAATGACATTAATATAGAAAATCTCTATGCTTATACAGGGTGGTTGGTAACTGGTGGCACAAGCGGAAAGGGGGTGATTCTTACGCGAAGAAAGAAGTCGAAAATATAGAATAAAAGTTTTTCGTTCGAGGCTTCGTTTTCGAGAAAATCGACTTTGAATTTTCGCTCGGTACGCGTGCGGTACGTTATAACGGATCTCACTGTAGATCGTTGTCTCGATGGAAAAATTAAAAAAAAAATTTTTTTTAAAAAATGTTTATTCTATATTTTCTAAAATCACTCCCTTTCCGCTTGTACCACCAGTTACCAACCACCCTGTATATTTCACGAGCTTACGACGCTCTTTTGTTCGTCCTTCGTTCGAACGGCGTTGATTTGAAAATATCGCGCTCGCTATACCAACGCCATATCGAATCGCTGATTCGCAGCAGAAACGTCCTGCACAGGATAACCCGAGACGTCTTTTCACGATGTATCTTACAAACGATGACCTTTCTCCACGATTTGACAATTTTCTGCTTCCAAAAAATCGTCGTAAATTCGTTTGTTCGGCGCTTACACGCGTTAGTTCATTGTTTTTGTTCGTACAAAGCGTACGAAGCAAGCGTTGCATTGCGGTCAGCGCGATGCACGATGACCTCGCGTTTCTCACGAGCGTTCGGGTGATACGAGAACCAGTATTTGAGCTGTTTATTTTTGTTTTCCTATTAGTTTAGATAAGGTAATTAGCGGGTGTTGGAGTGTAACGAACGATGGCGATGTATCTTTGGTAAATTATTGATCTAGATTTGAAGGGTCTGCAGTAACAAGGAGGTAGCATCACTTTTCCAGTAACTAGAATAAATCAACAAAGATCAATGAAAATCGCATCGATTTTCGGAATTTACTGTAAATTAATAGACCATCGATATTCGTTATTATTTATATTCGTTATTTTGTATACTTTTCTTTCTTTCTAATAAATACAAGTTAAATGTTAGGAGTTGCCTCCTCGCTGCAGTGAACAGTTTACGCAGTAAATTAAGAATTCGAGGTAACGAGTCAACATCGTTAAAATTAATACGTACAACGCTGGAATCGTCAATTTCCTTTCCTTGGTATCCGAAAAAAGAAATACACGTGTACACACGATAACAGAAATTTACGGAAGTATCTATAATGCACGTTACGCTATCTGACATTCTTACGCTCAATTTCAAGTTACGAGGTGATTGTTTATCGGGTCAATTATACGTATTCTGCCGAATAATTAGAAACACTAAGAGGCTAAGAACAATCAGAAATTGGCAAATATTATTTCGTTTGTTTGTTAACAACAAACTTGCAGAATTGAAGAAACTATTATCTAAATTGCAAATGGAAACAAATTTGCCTATTACTCAACAATCGTACAATTAGTAACCTTCTACTACTTCAAACTTCCTATTTCAAACAATTCCTCGAAGAATTTATTTTTGTCGCGTTACGCTCTTCTACGAAACCGACGATAATTTCCACGATTCTCTTTCCATACTTTCTTCCCTGCTTTGTAACAATGTACGTAATCGTTTAATCGTTTGAATCGCGTGACTCATCCCACGCGTAACTTGCCAGTTGCGCTCTCGATTCTAGATGGAAGAAAAAACGATTCTAGGAATCTTGAGAAGGGGTGGAGGCGCGGCAGGGGTTTCATCGAAACGTTCGTTTCGATCGTTCGACATTTGGAACGCAATTGCGGTCGATGCAGTCGTGCAGGACGAACTGCGTTTTTTTTCCTCGGACGCATTGTATATTTAGTAGCCGGCTACTTTCCACCACCGTCCTCCTGCTCCTCGCAAGAGACCCTCGCGAATGGAGTCCCTGGTAATCGATCGATCCGTGAAATATTCATAGTGTTCCGTGTGCGGAGGCCCGTGGTACTGCAACGAAGGACTCGACCACGGGACCTCTGGTTGCTATCGATTAATCGAAAGGCTCGCCGTGCACGATTTCGGTGTCGTCACAGACGAAACGTGAATATTAATCCCGTCACCAGACCTCGGTTCGTCCTCGTTGCGGTTACGACGAGGGATCAAAAGTTAATGCGTTTCATTTCGAATCCTCTCGAATCCTTTCCTCGCGTTTAATTCTACTCCCGGCTCTCTTGTTATTTTTCTTTCCCTTTTCTCCATTTGGTTTTCTGGCTGGCCGCCAGATCTGATTCCAGAAGGGATTAGGGAGTTTCAAGCTTGTAAACTGGAAACGATTCGCTTCCACTTTTTGCAACACTTTGACGCGAGTCTTTCTTCGCTTTTTTTTTTTTTGTTGTTGTTCCCTGCTCCCTTTTATTTTTCTTTTTTTTTCTTTTACTCTTTTAATTTGCGTTTCTATTCTGGCTACGTTTTTAATCGAAGTATCGACGTTTGTTCGATGATTGACAGCCGCGTAAAAAGCTCGGTACGTCGATCATGGAGCTTTACCGGCGAGTGTACGCGAGCTGGTTGTCGTCTTTGCATCCAGTTTGACGAAGTTCGCGTCCGAACGCTTCCCACATATGCTGTTGTTTTTGTTTGGAAATTTTATTGCGTTGGAGAAACCAATTCTGCTTCCTCGCGTTGGTACTCTAGAAATACTCGGTTCGATAGAGAAATTATCATTGATTTCTTCGCACTCGTTTCTTCGAATTTTTCAAAATGAAATTATAACATCGATCGGTTGTAGTTTGATCAGCTTTTTACGCGCTTTATTTCTATACTTGAAAATCAATAACACGAATTTCGAATGCTTTTTCAAATATTAGCCACTTCACGATATTTTGATTACATTTCCATGGAATTTATTTCCCATTTTACTCATTCTTCTGAATTTAAATGGCGCAATCATTATCTTTTGTATTATGAAATTAAATTCTCGGAACTTCTTGCTCGAACCATACACATACAAGCTTTCACATAAATAACTAGAAGGAGAGAGTTAAATGTTATTGCTTTGCAATTTATATTCAATTACAACATGAAAAATGATATTTCTTTTTCAAATGTGATTTTCACTCGCATTATCGATACTTGCTAAAGGATAATCTATTGTTATCTCTGCGAATCATTCCAAATAGAGTTTCGTAAACACTTTTCCCCTGCGTGAAACTCGCGAATTTCTACGTTAACGATCGCAATTGATTCAACCTGTTCGTTTCGTTAAAATTTATGAAATCCTTACACGTTCGGGTAATATAGGGGAATTACGTATTTATCGAGCTAAATACCCTTCGAGGAATAAATTTCGTGTAATTTAACAAACGATGAATAAATACACGATCACCAAGAAATTATGAACCATTAAAACGCGGCTTGTTGTCGGTAGCATTCCGACCTATTTGCAATTTTGCCAATGCTACTACAACTGGTACAGTACTCGATACTTTTTCACAAGCAATCAGCATTTCGTTCTATTTTACTTTGCCACTCGGTATGCATTTGTTTTCATACGAGCGAAAAAGTAGGCAAAGAATTTCATTCCAAGCATTTTAAAAGGACTAATCAAACAGTAAGATTCTTTCGTATTTATCACGCTTGTTATTACGAATATAAGTCGAGGGAGAAAAGGAGGAATTTCAGTGGATCTAAACAATTAAAAGGGAATAATCGAGGAATAGAAAACTTGAAAAGAGTACATATTTGATTTGTTATTTTTATACGAATGTCATATTCGGAGATTCGTTTCAGTTGATCGAGCGGTCATTCTATTTAAAAATATTATCTTACCATTTTATTCACATAGATAATCAAATTTCTCTCATTGTATTAAAAGTACTAATATCAAAAATTGAAAAAGACTCTTGGACATTGAATCGTACGTGAAATTTCGAAATAAAGGGAATCGGTGTTGGTCGAGTTAAAATAAAATTCTCTATAATCGGATTAGTTTGGTATCATTGATTAACTTACGGCAATTGTACTAATACGTTCCCGACAAGAATGGAACGTGTCTTACCGATCGTTTAATAAAGAATCGTGTTAGCAATGTTCGTTAGGTTGCAGAAATTGACAAAATTGCCGGTGTTTTGATCTTGTCGATTCACAGAAATTTCCTAATAAATAATTTTCAGAGATAAACGCAAAAATCGTATATGCTCATTCGTGTCCAAAATTGATAAGCTTTTTTTTTTTTTTTTTAGTAAAACGACATTCTCGGCTTTTACTGTTCCCATTTTTCTTCCAATAGTTTGAATAATTATATGTGTAGAATGGCGTGACATATCTGACAATAATAAGCGTAGGAAGAAATTAATATTTATTTTTCATTTTAAACGCTAATTTTAAATATTAATTTTTCAAAATAGAACGATTTTTCTCTTAATGGAAAACAATTGACAAATACCTATCTATCATCCAAAACAATGAAAAGCAAAATACACGAATGAATATCCACCGATTCGATAAAAGTCTCGATACCAAGAGGTAGTTGTAATGCAGAACGCAGCGAAGCTTAGATAAATTGTGTGAAATCTAAACATACACACGCGTCGCAGTACAATTTTTCACCCGATCGAGCCAGAATCTTTATCAATCTTTATAATTTGCGACGACTTACGCAACCAATAAGTTTATCGAATAACCTTCCCAACAAAATTTATCGTTATATGAATCATCAACTCACAGTTAGATCGTTCCAACTTAGACCGTTTCACGCACGGATCCACCATGTTCGATAAGAAAATTCACGCGAGATTTCGAGCGATCGCGCCAAAGAAACGTATCAGAGAGAAAGAAAGGAGAGTAATTTCTCGACTAAAAAATAAATAGAATTTTTCAGGCTCGTTATTCTTAAAAAAATCAGCGTGGAACAAGCGTTTTACCGAATTTAGGCAGCTCTCTTTTTCGTATTTGCGTTGTCACGTAAGTTTCCGCGCGATGGCATCGAACGTTCGCTCTCACCTCGCATTTTCCGCGAATCCTGATCGTCCCTGATAAGCCAGATCGACGTTTAAACCGCGCGTGATTCTGCGTTTAATCGAGCTTTAATTTTCAGTGATGCACCCGGCTCGTCCCAAACCCTACGACCAATCGAATTCGATCGACTCGACACAAAACGCTCGATCAATTTATAACGAGCATCGATTAACCGTCAGAGACAATTCCTGGAAACATTTGTCGAACAGGGAACACGTAGACCGTCGAAGGATATCTTTGATAACTTGCAAAATAACGTGCAGATTGTTTCAAGTACTTTGCTTCTCGGTGACAAAGCTATCGAGTTTTCTTTTTGTCGTGACAGTGCGAATTATTATACAAGATGTCTTGCAAAGTGTAGTACTATTAAGTAGACTGTGCTTTATTTTATTTAAAAAAATATCCAAAAAGTTTTTTCTTTGGTAAAAGAAATAATTACATAAGAAACGATTACAAAGGAACACTTACAGTTTTCTATTAGCTGAAACAGAACATTAAAACAGCATTCTCTCATCGCTGAATTTAAAGACTTACGGATAAACGTATTTATGAATCGTAATAGTAACTTTTCGCGTGAAAACAATATCTCAATTGGGCAAAACTATCCAAGTGATATTTCTAGCGCTAAACCTAAGCCTTCGTTTTGGTATTTTCTATCTACATTTCCTATTTGGGTTGTGCTCCGTTAGATGACAAGGGATGTCCAATTCCAAGTCATTATTCAGAAGTAAAATCGACTTTTTCAAAGAACCGTGATTCATTTAAACGAAGTTTCTTCGTTTTACGCTCACGTTTCTGTAAAGAATCATACAAAAATCTTACAAGACACTTTGTATATTAATTCCGTATTACTTCATTACGATCTCTTCGTTCGTTCCAACGATCAAGTATTTTTCCATCGATAATAGGCTTCTCGTTCCTTATTTCAAAAATGTTTCTGTAAAAATCGTAGTTCGCAAAATCGAAAAACAATTTCAAGAAGCTTCCTTCTTCTTCGTGATACGCAGTAACTAACGCAAACTCCAATTTTAATAGTAACAAAGAAAGAAGCTTCGATCAAACAGAAGCTCGAACAAACAAGCCAGAAGTTAAACAACTTCGACGAACTCGATTCTGTAATAATTAAAAAAAAAAAAAGAAAAAAATTCCCCAAAAGATCAGTCAATGAGTTTCTCGATATGGGAGAAAAATTCGACAAACGTCGAACGAGAAAAGTCAGAAAACGATCGATATTGCCAACGAAGAACAGAGTCGTTCAATCTTGCGAAACGATCGCGAGCGAAAGAGAACGCGAAAAAGGAAAAAAGAGAGAGAGAGAGAGAGAAATTGGTCTGTACGATGCGAGGCGAACGTTTCGTAGGAGCGGAATCCTTATCCGGTTAGCGGGCGATTGCCGCGGAAAAATCGCAATTAACGAGAAGAGCCGGCCGTTACGAGCGTAACCTTGCAATCGTAAAGGTCTAAAAATATAATGAACGCACGGAAAACTGCATAATGCATCGACCCAACTGCGCGCTGCGTTATCGCGCTCGCGAGCCACCGAGCGAGCATGCATGCATGCATGTATGTACAGCGTGCACGTCACGACAGATAAATCGTAAATTGGACAGTGACGCTCAATTTTGCGTGCGAACCGCGTCGCGAATTTTTCCCTCGCTCGCGATACCGCTAGGGGTTGTCACGTTGAATGGTGGAAATTACGAATTTTGCAGTCAACACTTGTTAGAGGCTAGCTGACTAATTTCGAGTGTGCGAGTCACACGAATTTGCAATTTGATAAAACAGACGTATGTATTAATGTGCAGTTTTGATCGATATAAGTGGTAAAATGGTAACCTTGTTTTTCGATTTTATTACATTTAATCGTTAATTCGGCGTGATTAGATCGTAGGTGATCTTGGAACGATTTGGATTTGGTTTGGGCTGGGTTTCGTTCGTTTTTTGCCTATTTAATGTTAATTGAAATTTCATGTCTCAAGTATATGATATATAGTGGCTACAAAAGAGTATTTGCTCGTATCCTTATTTTCCAGTGAAACTTTTCTTTATCAAGTTTTATATTTGGTACACCAGGTTTCTATACTCTGTTTTATGTAAATTTCATTGTCGTAGTATCCAAATTTTGTAATAATATGAAAATGATACGCTAAGTGATACGAAATTTAGTATACGTGGACTTAATTAATTAGTTTGCAAATGCTGTGATATATACAATGATTTGCAAATAGTTCTCGTAGTCACTGTATTCTCAGATTAATGACCATTGGCACAGAGCGATTTAAATTATATTTCAGTTGAACCACGTGATTTTAATTTTTACTTAAATTCCATATCTTATATCGTAGATACATAGAATTATATCTAAAATTATGAAAGATTAAAAGTCAAGCGAATCACCTACGATCTACGATCTAATGATTAATAATCGAGGATTAATGTCTCTTTTAATTAGAAAATAGTAAGTTTCTAAGCTATTATTAGCGAAACGTTGAATTCTTAAAAATAGATATCTTCGACTGGAGAAAAATAACGCTACTACCGAATCTCTGTCAGATTTGTGACACTTCGTTTTAGATCGCTCCATTTACACGTGAAAACTTCATTTGAATAATATAGCAAGGGGTATTTTTGTTTGAGCAATGAAAGTTCTATTTCCGCTGATTATTACGAGCCATCGTTGACCCACGAGGAAAGAAACGTATTTTCGAAATTGTTCGCGGAAGGTAAATTCGACGACGAAACCTGTACAAAAATTTGTTCGTTACACAAATGTGGACGATGTGGCAGTGAACAAGTTAACTGAATTTTCTACGCTTAAAAATCTCTATCGACGGTAGCGATAAAAATACCGAAAGACATTAGGTGGAAATTTGGAATATTTAATAGTTGAATATAATAGTGGAATATTTTATAATTACATACCGATAGATATTTAGTAAATTTTGGTGTTGAACATTTCTGATGATCAAACATGGATGAATTCGATGAAATTTGCAGATATTTGACGGCGTATGTAATGATTTTTGTATTTTGTTTGACCGAAGTTCGTCAAGATTTCCAGAGAATTATTTTTCCGGATAACATTATCGTTTTTTAAGTCGATATTCATTCGGAATTCTATTTCAAACATGAATCATCTAGCGAAGCTTAGCTGACTGTAAATTTCCTAGTTATTCTAAAAGCCGTGATTTCTTAAGTTATAGTTCTTTTCAATCGAGCCCATTAAAAAAAAAAAAAAAAATGAACTCTTTTTTACGCGTAACTTTCTCAAGAGTCTAATATTATGTAACGAGTACCAAAGAGTTTCCTTCGCCGTCGTTAAAACTTTATTTGTTCCTGTCACTTATACGAAGTCATTCGTTAAGCGTGGCCATAAATTGTCACGAATGCGTATGCGGTGTAAGAAAATCGTTAGCGCGTAGAAAGAATAATTTGCACTTAAGGAGACGTAAGAGTAAAAAGTACAGATAGCAGTTGAGAATTTAGATGAAATTGCCGGTAGGTTTGCACATCTGACCGTGCAACTTTTACGTGGAACAATTGTTGGAATGACGTACGCAAAGTAGGGAAGGGTAATTGTCCTGTGCATGCGGAACGCAAAGAAAGGGAGGACATTGTAAGCGCAAGGGGAAACGGATCGCCTGTGATCAGACGTATTTTACGATACCACGGACATTACATTTTCCCATAAATTTAGATAGCTGTTTCAAAAATTAAAGAGCGCAAGTTCTAGAATACAAATTTACTTGCTGTTCGATGTAAAATTCATGACCGTATATTTTCGTTTCTTTTTGCGCGAAACAGCCATAAAATCTTCTTTTTCCACATGAAAATTTCATCACACGATATCTCTTTAATTTAAACGTATGATTATTTAGATTTGTATAGCTACTTTTTAGATCTCTTGATAACATAGGCACGTTGTTAGTGTATGTACATGTCCTGCGTATAATTTTGTGTAAATTTGGGAGCAGAGATGCGTTGAATATTATCTTTTGGTTACCTCATTGCGGAACGTTCGGTACTCTTGTTCAATGGAATTATGTATTTTTGTCCTGCTATTAATTACTGATTAATTATATCGATATAATTTTAGCAATTGCAAACAGATAAACATGCTGACGAGCATGAACGTAGTTTTGCAAATTAATTCAATAATTTCTACGTCATAAATTGGAAACGGTAATTAGATTGGATATCTGTTATTATTTATTGAATCATTCAGTAAGTAATCGATCAAAACGCCGTTTATATGCATGCATGTTAAAATATCTGATAAACGTGATAAAAACTGCTTGATGGTATTAATAACTGTCGAGTAACTCCATTAACGGACTCGAGGAAAATTAGCGCGTACGAAACGTATTTTCCAAATAAATCTCTAATCGGAGATAGTTTCTTCGAAATATCATACATTTGGTCCGAGTAACTTTTAAACGTTCGAATACTTTTATCCAAACATCAACCAGTTCGTTGTTCCAGATATATAACGATTATCTATCCAACAATTTTTGCAATTAATACAATATAGTTATACGCGTGTAATCGATCACGATCCATCAGATTCGAACTTTAGAAAATCTACATTTCATACGCGTTAACCCAATACCAAATCAATTGCAAAGATTCTACATATTAAAAAACAGTCTGTTTGTCGACCAAGAGTACCCAGCTTCTCGAGCGTTATGCATTTTCAACATCCTATCGCGCGAAGAATTATACCTCGTTAATTGCGATTCTCCGAATGAAAGAAAGAAAGATAGCGGAAACTTCCATATGTACTTCTACGCACGCACACATACACACAAACACACACAAACGTCCATGTAAAAAGAAGAAAAAAAAAAACAGAAACGACCGATCGTTTTCCACGTTTTCCCTAAGAGGGCCACTCTCTCGTTCGTTTATCGCGGCGCGTTTCATTTTCACGCGTTGGTGATTCTCGACGACGCGACGCGACGTATCGTCTCCTCGACTCAATTACCAATTTACGGAGAACGATCGCGGGCCACGATTCCGGATAATCATCGTGGCCATTGGAGCAGGGACGAGCACGAGGTGAAGCCAGGTGAAAGAGAAGACTAATCTGTTCGGTATCGAAGAGCCGTTAATTGTATCGCGAGGAGAAAACGATCTTTTAATCCGTGTTCGAACCCTGATCGCTGACGCTGAACGATTTCAAGGATCTGGCTGTCGCTAACTGCTGGCGTAATTCGAACGCCATCTTTGTCGTCGTCGACGTCGTCCTATTTACACGCACGCACAGGGCGCCAGTTTTCCCTTGATGGGTGCACGGACACGTTCGAGGTCGCAATTACGCCGCGAAACGCGGAACAACGATCGCCCAGTAAAGTGCAATCGAGAAGAGAATTAATGAACGCCGCGCACCGCTGACGTAGAGTACAATCAATTAGTAAAGTTCCAATTAACGTAGGTTTTAGGTCATCCCGATGGTTGCCGCGTGCACCGAATCGACTGATCGCGGCCTCGACTTCCGCACTCTCGCGACCATTAAGATCCCATCGCGTGAACAGCTTTCTCAATTTTATCGGACCAAGTCTGTCAAAGAATTCGTCCAGAATTTTCCTCTGGATTATTATTTGCTTTGTTTATTCTTTTTTTTTCTTTTTCTTTTTCTTGCTAATCGATCCATTTGACGTTCTCGTCTTCTCAATCGGAAGATCTTCTGTGTTTGGTTTAGGGAGCGCAATTTCCTGTATTTGGTTCGATAGGTACGAATTTTCGGGGAGGTATTCGTATTTGCATGTCGCCAGTAGCTAATACGTCGTATCTGGTATCGTTTCATTTTTCAAAATATCGCGCATGCACTTCGTAAGAGACACACGACTCAAACTTTCAGGAAAAGCGAACAATTGTTTGGAAACATAGAAACCAATTACTTTCTAAACGCATAATATTGACGCGGGGAACAGACTCTACGAAGTGGTGGACAAATATTATCTTCGTAATCTTTCATTCTTAGCCCTTGATATTCTAGTTGGACGATTTTTACGCTCTTCTAACGCGGAATTGAATTATTTTGAGTTGTAACAACTTTTGAAATACATTTGCGTATGTTGAAATACTTGAAGTTCTTCGTGTTTTTTTTTTCTTTTTTTTTTTTTAAATGATAGAACTTCGGTTTTCTTCTGTTTCGACGTCGTAGATAGGACATTTAAACTGGAAAAGGGTAGTTATATTTATTCGAAAAGGTTTGGAGGCTCGACAGTAGGTTTCTAAATATTTTCTTGTTAATTGTCGAGAAGATTCGATGGAAATAATTATACTTAAAACTATAGGCATTGGTTCTATACATTTGGACTAATTAATGATTCGATTTAAGGATAGTGGAAAATAAGCGCGCAAGTATAGAAGCTCTGAGGAACAAACAACGACAGAAAGAATCTTAAAAGTCGTTTTAATCGAGTGAATAGGAAAGAGATAACTACGCAAATTTGAAATCTTTCTCTTCGCTTCGTTCCTAATTTGTTGTTTCTACTATTTGAAAGTGAGAAATTAAAACGAATTATTATAGTACAAAAATTATTTAGATTTACGTAAAACTAGGATGATTTTTTCTAGAGATAATCGTTTTCTTAAACCAAGTATATATAACCTCTACCAATTTGTTTAGCGTATTTAGAGGTTAATCAGAGAATTTTTTTCTTCGATTACGAATATTTTAGAAGTTAAATCGTTGAAATATCGACAAGCAAGCTTTTCAAGCTCTATAATTTATACTTCAAAAAATGTGCAATATAATTTGATAAATTATTCGAGCAATTTATCGAACGTTGTTAAAAATCTAGAAATTTTTACGACACTCACCCGTCGTCGGTTATAGTTTTCCTTATTTTCCACGTACGTATCTCTATATTTCCCTTCAGTAACTATGTTATCTACGTTTAATTTTCGTTTGTTTCGTCGAGGGGCATTTATTATTCTGAAAATCGAATATTTCTACTTGTATTTCCTATTACTCTTTTATTTAAACAATAATTTATTATATTATTATCCGAGCATTTTTGACACGAACGTCCACGTTTTCGCCGAGACGCAACGCCACCCCTTTCAACCTCTTTGTCTTCGAGACTCGCGAAACGGAATAGAAGCGATATGCGGTACGAGAACGAATTCTAACCGCGAACCTCGCGAAGACCATTCGATTTTCGATCTCATCTTCGTCATCGTCGTGAAAACTGCACGTGCCTCGAATTCTATCGTACACCGGTCCCTCTATATGTATATACGATAATAGAAAATGAACGTAAGCGATATAAGTATTTCACCTAGATACTTAGATCCTCTTGTTAATGTTTAGTTTAATAATCGTTCGCCAAAAATACTGAAAAGGTGAAAAAAAGAAAAGAAAAAAAAAGAAAAAAGAAAGAAAGAAGAAAGGAAACGCAACTCTGATCGATGCTGTATATTATAGGTTATATCATATCATAGATAGACTATGGATGTTTGTGCAAAACGATATTTTTATAAATACGACGAAAAAAAAAAAGGT